AAAATATTAAAAATTAGATTCCCTTTAGCTCCAGAAATATACCTTTTAGGCATTACAAATAAAAAATTAGATAAGAACCAAGAGAAGATATGCTTCCTCCTTAGTACGGCGGCCAGGTTGCTACTTGCAAAGGTGTGGAAGAAAAAGGAGATCCCAACCTTAGAAGAATGGACTATAAAATTTTTAGATATAATCCAAATGGACAATCTCTCTCAAAGGCTTAAAGGAAAACACAATGACACAATATGGAACGGTTATATAGACTTTATTAGAAAAAGAGGCATTCCGCTTCAAACAGATCTGCCGAGCTGAAGAATATAGGTATAAAATATAAGCCGAAGCTAGCAAAAGGAAAGAAAAGAAAAGAAATGTAGAACAACGAAGACGGATGATCCCAGAAGACTGGCGGGAAGTCGCTGCAACAACCCCCCTCCACCCATTCCCCCACACCCATCCCCATGACTCCCCCCCCCCACACTTCTTGCTCTCCCCTCCCCTTCCTCTACCTCCAACCACGCCCTTTTTCCTTCGCCCCCACCCCTCCCCTCCCCCTAAAGCACCAATCCTTACCTTATCTCATTCCGAACTGCTGTAAATTGAAAACTCAATAAAGATTATAAAAAAAAAAAAGAAAGAAAGAAAACCCTGTAATAGATTAACTTTAGGTTGTCATAAGATGGAATTGAAGTTATTTTGTTAAATGATACTCCTCTGACTTCATTAATTAGAATGTCTGTTTACATCAAATGAAAATGCCTAACAAAATACTATTTCCATCATTTCCAAATTGGCCTATACAAGTTTAGTGCAAAAACATGGCTTGGACATGTTTGCCGATCTATTGTTACTAAAGCTACTACACTTCATTATGGAAGTCACGCTCTTTATGTGATGCAAACATGACCTATAATTACAACCAGGCCATTGGACTTAGCACAGTGTTATTGTACATTTTACCAGAGGTCAGACAAATTCATATCAGATGTATCTCACGAAATGTAATACACTGATCTGGCATATCTTCCTCATTCATGTAGGAAATGAGCAGATGAGAGGGAGAAAGAGGGATTCTTTCCAATAAAGTTACCTTTTAAAAATACCGAGGATAACTTACAATTTAATACACAAAGGCTACAGCATTAGAAGAACATGCTGCACAACAGTATAAATGTAAATAATGAGACTTCTGAACACATGTTATATATTATACATTCAAAGCTACATTAATGTTTTGGAGGAAAGGATAGCTCTTATAATTATTTAGATTTGAGCAATAGTTTCAAAAAAATATCAGATTATGGCTAGCTGGTTGCTGCCTGGAGGACTTCTTTGTTGGGAATTCCAGACAAGAATCAATCAGGGCCAGCTAACACCTCCCAACAAAGGATTCCCCCAGGCAGCAATCAGCCAGGCTTTGAAACTTGTTAATCAAGGTGGCCATTTGCAACATTCACACTTGCCTGAAGCAGACAAGAGTTTTTTCTCCCACCCTGGACATTCCATAGATATAGAAACCTCACTTGCCTAGTTTCCAACTGACTCCCCCCCCCCTCCCCCACCTCTGCGAATGCCTGCCATAGATGTGGGCGAAACATCAGGAGAGAGTGCTTCTGGAACATGGCCATACAGCCTGGAAAACTCACAACAGCCCACTTCTGGATGACTTTTGGAAGTATTGATGAATAATGCTCTTGTTTACTTATACATAGCTTACCTAACCAGTTTGTTTCATTTCACACATGCATATTTTGAGTTTTACAGTTGAATTTTACAGTTTTCTGGAACATGTTTGACTGCTCTTCCTTTTGGTGGTGTAGGAACCTATCCTTATTCTTCCCATATTATTTTACCAAATTTTCTGTTAAAGAAATAATTCCCAAAATATATTTGTTTCATTAGTTGAGGTATACCAGTGGTATAATTAGTAGACAAGTTCATATTTGGTGTATCCCTTTCCTTGAGCAGTAATATCCTGAAGTCAATTCACAGGTGCAACAGTTAAAATTTGTCAATTGGTCCAGGTTTTAATAAATTTGACTGTGATCAATTTCAGCTCTAAATGTATTAAATTGTTGTTGGATGATAATCACCGTGTATTCTTCCTGAAAAGCACACTAATTGTCTATGTGTCTATTCAAAAAATATTAGACATCCCATGGAGTTCAACAGTGGAGCATAGGTCTTGTTCAATATTGGAAGGCAGCAACATTTCATACTAGAAGCTTTTGGTTGATTGAGATAGATAGATTGATGTATAGATTTTATTATTATATGCAAAGACAAAATGGTATATTTCTCATAAATAAATAAATACTTACAACGGTACATTATTTATAATACAGATGATGAAAAATGTTCTTGTTTACTTTTTAAAACAGTAACATCTTCCAACATAAAAAATGCCAGTTTCATATTTTTCAAGACTTATGGTAATATTTGTAAAGTATCACTTCAAAAAGGAAACTGAAGCAATAAGATCACAAAAATCCCTTCAGAACCCAGCTTTAAGTCTAAGGACCCATGTACACTGCCATATAAAATCCAGATTATCTGCTTTGAAGTGGATTATATTGCAGTGTAGACTCATATATTCCAGTTCAAACAGATAATGTGGATTCAGAAATTGGATTTTATGGCTGTGTCGCTCCAGCCATAGTCATCACTTCATACTCATTGGGCTTAGGGACACAGGATCCCCATGAAAGTGAAAAAAACATGAAAAGCATAGGTCTTGTTCAATAGGAATTGAAGGGGCCTTAGAGGAGGGGCACAAACTCCTTCACTGCCATCCCTGCAAAGTGCTTCATCTTGGTTAGACTTTGTTCTAAAGCAGAATTAGGTTTTTAATGAGTTTTAAACCCCACTTTACAATACTTACAAAAACAAAAAGAGTTCTCCAAGATAATGCTAAAAAGCAGAGTGAAAGGGCAGTCATATTTCCATTAAAAACATCTTGCAATGGAAAAATTAAAAAGCGTAACAGTACAGTAATTCAATTCAGCTCAATAAAAGTTTCTGAATGCAAACTGGAATGTGACAGATGACCTGGAATGAACAGCTTTTATTTCTAAATCTCAGAATAATCTAACACAGAACAAATAAAATAGCTTCAAATTGAAAAAAAAACAATATGGAAATTTCATAGAGATGACATAATGGAAAAAGTACTAACGCTGCAGTAAAGCAGATGTGTTGTCTACAGCACCAAGTATATAAAACTGCTGTAAGTTTCTTTCTGTGATACCATATTCTGAAAGTGGGAACAGCATGGTATGGCTCCTGTTTTACCCCAGAAGGTTGATTTGATATGAACTTTGTAAGCAACTACTTATTTCAGATAAGTAGACTAAAAATATGCTGAGAACATTACATAGAATATTAGACTGGTAAACAATTTCAATAGTGGTTTGAACATTGGACTACGACCCTAAAGTTCCTCACTCAGTCTTGGAAATCCATTGAGGGATTTTGGGCAAGTCACATATCTTTGGCCCCAGAAATCCTCTTAGGGCCTCTTGAAATCAAAAAGGACTTGAAGGCACATAGCAACAAACCATGGATTTTGCAAGCATCTTGATTTTAAAATGTTTTTGGAAACAGAGAGTTCGCCTCCCAACCAAAGTCATTTTTGAAAGTAGATTAGCTCTTCCAGCTCACCAGTTTTCTTCAGTTTTAAGCAGACCAACTGTCTGATAAATCAGGTTGAGATTTGCATATCTACAAAGATTTGGCTCCCAATCATTTTAACAGCAAAAAGGGTCAACATCCTACCCTTTAAATTCCATTGTTGAAACAAAGGAAGGTTGAGGCAGATGAACTGTGAGTTCTTCAACAAAACTTTTGATAGATCTTTGCATTCCTATAAGAAATTCAGTTTTTGAAGCCTGAGGTATGCTCATCCCTGTGGTGTGTATGTATTTGTATGTGTGTGAAGATATGTATGCATGCTTGTACCCCAAAGGCTTCTACGTAGCTGGATGGATTTGGACCAAACCTGAAACACATGCCTTTCATGATCCAACTTAAAATACTGGTGGGTTTTTAAAAAATCACCCCCTTTTTTGTCTGTTGCCTTATTTTAAACATGATCTACATTGCTATTCCATGAACCTCACACTGAAGCAATCAGATGCAACCACTAGAGGGCACTGGATAGAAAGTCTATTCAAGAAAGAGAGATGACAAATGGAAGAGAGCTAGCGCATCAGTTTCTTTCAGATGGCCAAAGCCTTGCCATGGAGATGGTGGCGCAGTGGGTTAAACCTTTGTGCCAGCAGGACTGCTGACCAAAAGGTCGGCAGTTTAAATCCGGGGAGTGAGTTGCACTCCCATCTGTCAGCTCCAGCTTCCCATGCAGGGACATGAGAGAAGCTTCCCACAGGATGGTAAGACATCCGGGTGTCCCCTGGGCAACATCCCTGTAGACGGCCAATTCTCTCACACCAGAAGCAATTTGTAGTTTCTCAAGTTGCACCTAACATGGAAAAATATATATAAGGGAAGCCTTATCAGAGGGACAGGCAAAGGAAGTGATCTGGAGAAGGGAGTACTTAAAATGATACAATCTGGGTAATAATTCAGTTCTTAACAGAATCCTACATTCAGAGCAGTGCATTTATATGCATGGAGAAAAAAAAATCTCTGTACAGAGAAAATGAGTATTGAAACTTTATAAAACACTAGCGTAAGTACCTGGCATTGCTCAAGTATACATTTTCTAATGGGACCATTCATAAAATCATAAATGTAACAATAAGTATGTTTAATTTTAAAAGCATTTGAAACTGCCACACCAGGTTTTCTTTTTTAATTGTCAGAAGTGACTTGAGAAACTGCAAGTCGCTTCTGGTGTGAGAAAATTGCCAGGTACATATGCTAGTTAAAAAATAAATCACAAATGTTATAGTTGAACGCAGTCTCTGTGGCAATCTGCTTCATATTCTTTCTCCCTTGTACAAGTCAGTCTCAAGCTGCTTACAATCCATGGCCATTAATAATCATCAGGAAGTTGAGCTGAAAAAGTGTTTCCAGTGTTCCTTCAGAGAACCATTAATATAACAGTATCTGCCCAAGGATTGTCATTGGGATCTGTCACTATTTCCATCCAGTATTTAAAAACATTAAGAAAATAGTATCTGCCCAAGGTTTGTCATTGGGATCTGTCACTATTTCCATTCAGCTTTTACAAACATTCCCCATTCCCTTTCCCTGCATACATATGGCCCTTCCACACATATAGCCCTGAATGTCAAGGCGGAATAACCCACAATATCTGCTTTGAACTGGGTTATCTGAGTCCACACTGCCATATATCCCAGTTCAAAGCAGATAGCATGGACTTTTATTCAGCTGTGTGGAAGGGGCCATAGTCTCCTACATTTTCTTCCTTAATTGTTTGGGCTGACCTGCTACAGAACCACACTACAGACTTCCTGAATCCTTTCAGGGCTGTGCAGTGCAATGCAATGCTTCTGCATCAACTAGCACAAAAGCACTACTGTCACAATACTCATCAACATTGTACTAACAATGGGTCCAACCAGCACCCCTCGGCTGCTGCCATCCTTTGGTGGTACAGTAGTAGTAGCCGGTGTGCTGGAGTACACTTCCGTTCCACCTGAGCCCTCCTCATCTTCCTCACAGGGCTTCTGATCTTGGACATGCCCACTGGGGCAGATGCAATGGTAACTTCCTGGTGTATTCACACACTCCAATTTACCACATTCCCCGGAATGACACTCATCAATATCAGTACAAACTTTAATGTCATCTTCGGTCACGTCAGAGATGAAACCGTCCGGGCAGTCGCAGTGGTCTCCCGTGTGGGGGTCGCACTCTGCCGGGCACTGGCTCTGGTTACAGAACTGGAGACATTCGTTGGGTTTTAAGGGGTTTGGAACATAGCCCTCAATGCAGGTGCATATGTGCTTCCCATTTATGAGGGTGCAGTCGTGCTGACAGTGCAGGTCGAAGCAGGGCCGCCTATCCTCCTGGCACTTGCCCTCATCCATTTCGTAGCCCGCCGAGCAGCGGCACTCAAAGCCCCCCGGGGTATTGAGGCACTCCTGCTCACAGGGACCGGGTTGGGTCTGGCAGTCGTCTACGTCCACGCAGCTCTTGCCGTTGGTGTCCAACAGGTAGCCTTCCATGCACATGCAGACGGCAGAGTCGCCTTGTGGCACACAGTGATGCTCGCAGTCCAGGTTGGCACAGAGGGATCGGCAGCTCAGACCATCGTCCTCTAGGAAAGCCACCCCGCCGGGGCAGGTACAATAAGGTTGCCCTGTCTCTCCAGGGTGGCATTGCCCCTCGCAGCCCCCGTTCTCCAAGCGACAGTCCCAGGCGCCTTGTGTGACAGAGCGCCAGCGCACTCGGGGCTCATCTTGGCCTTGTGCTATGCACTCCAGGGTGGCCCCCAAGCTGGGCACTTGGGCCGTGCTCCCTGGGGGCAAGGATGCCAGTTCTGCCTCCCGGGCCCCGAAGGGAGTCACGTAAAGCACCTCCGCGGACGGTGGGGGATTCAGAGGAGCGCAGGTGCCAGAGGGGAAGCTGTATTCACAAAGGAAGCCGTCGGAGGGGGTGTCGCAGCTGCTCTCCTCCCAAGACAGCGCTTCTGGGGTCACCACCACGCAACGAGGGCCACACAAAGCAGGCAGGGAGTCTCCCTCTGCTTCATCTCCATCCCAGGCAGCGTAGTCGGTGCGCTCGTCGCCGGAGACCCACTGGAAGCCGCGCAACTTCTTTCCCCGCTCCCGGCAGGCGCCCACAGGTAGGTGCAAGCCCAGCCAAGCGCGGCCGGGCCCGCCTCGCAGGAGCAGAGCGATGGCCTCCGCTGCCACCGTCGAGCGCACCGTCATGAGCCGCCCGCCGCCTCCCTGGCACGCCTGGTCCGCCTCGGAGAAGCTCCGCGCCGCCCAAAACAAGGCGAAGCAAGCCGAGCCCACGCACTGCGCCCCCGAAGAGGAAGGGGAAGGAGGAGCGGACACCGCCAACACCACCGGCAGCAGCAGCCTCAGGAGCCACATGCCTGCTTGCCTGCGGGAAGGAGCCCTCGGCTTGGCTTCCCTCCTTCAGGCAACGCGCCGCCCTTATAACGCCCTCCATGAGGGAAAGACAAGGCCCCGCCCTCCAGGGCTCTTCGGCGGCGGAGAGGGCGCGCCGGGCCGGGCCTTCCTCAGGGGCGGACCCGCAGCAGCCTCAGGGCGGGGAAGAAGGGCAGCTGCTCCTTCTTCCCCTTACCTTCCCCTCCCACTAGAGTTCTCTACGGGACCGAGGAACCCTAGAGCCACACCCGCGCGCTTTCCTGTCTCTTGAGTGGAAACGCAGAAAAGGCAGTTCCCCTCCCTTGTCCTGCCCTTCCCCGCCCCGCCCTCGCGGCGCTGCACGTGCGCCTCTGAGAGGTTTCCCGCCCTCTCGTGGGGAGGACAACGCAAGGACTCTCCTCCTGGGTGGGGCCGCGAAGCACACTGCCCGCTCTCTGCCTCACAGACCCCCTCTCCCATTTTCCCCTTTTCCACCTTAGATGACCCAGGGCAAGATGCCTTCAGAAGAGGCCTGCTGTTTTCTTAGGCCCCTTCCACACAGCTGTATAAATATATAGCAGGCTGGATTCACATAACCCCATTTAAACCAGATATTGTGGGTTTTCTGACTTGATATTCTGCGTTACATGGCTGTGTGGAAGGCCCCTCAGATAACCCAGGTCAAAGCAGATATTGTGGGTTATCGGACTTGATATTCTGGGTTATATAGCTGTGTGGAAGGCCCCTCAGATAACCCAGGTCAAAGCAGATATTGTGGGTTATTGGACTTGATATTGTGAGTTACATGGCTGTGTAGAAGGCAACTCAGATAACCCAGGTCAAAACAGGTATTGTAAGTTATTATCGGACTTGATATTCTGGGTTATATGACTGTGTGGAAATAACCCAGTTCAAAGCATATATTGTGGGTTATTGGACTTGATATTCTGGGTTATATGGCTTTGTGGAAGGCCCCTCAGATAACCCAGGTCAAAACAGATATTGTAGATTATCGGACTTGATATTCTGGGTTATATGGCTGTGTGGAAGGCCCCTCATAACCCAGGTCAAAACAGATATTGTGGGTTATCGGACTTGATATTCTGGGTTATCTGACTTGTAGCCCCCAGTGGCGCAGTGGGTTAAAGCACTGAGCTGCTGAGCTTGTTGAACAAAAGATCACAGATTCAAATCCATGGAGCGGCGTGAGCTGCTGCTGTCAGCCCCAGCTTATGCCAGCCTGGCAGTTCAAAAACATGCAAATTTGAAGATAACAGTGCTCCATGCAGTCATGCTGGCCACATGACCTTGGAGGTGTCTACAGACAATGCCAGCTCTTCAGCTTAGAAATGGAGATGAGCACCACACCACAGAGTTGGACACAACAGGACTTCATGTCAGAGGAAAACCTTTACCTTTTCTTTACTTGACATGATATTCTGAGTTATATGGTTGTGTGGAAGGGCCCACAGAAACTGGGACTTGCACAATGGTTCTCAACCTGTGGGTCCCCAGGTGTTTTGGCCTACAACTCCCAGAAATCCCAGCCAGTTTGTCAGCTGTTAGGATCTCTGGGAGCCAAAGGCCAAAACATCTGGGGACTCACAAGTTGAGAACCATTGTTAGAAAGGGTTCCCTTGGCCAACTAGGGATCTGAATCCTAGGACCCTTCCATACACCCATATAACCCAGTATATCAAGGCAGGTAATCCACAATATCTGCTTTTAACTGGGTCATCTGAGTCTACACTGCCATTTAATACAGTTCAATGTGGATTTTATACAGCTGTGTGGAAGGGGCTGTAGTCTCCAGGGTCAAACACACCAACCATTTTAGTTTGAGACCAGCGGTCCTCAAACTAAAATGTTGTGATCCATGCCAAAGCTGAGGAACAAATCTAAGTGTTAAGGGCTAAATCATCAAATTAAGGCCCACAGGCAGATGCAGCCCACCAAAGTCATTCACCCGGTCCCCAGCCTCAGCTTTAGATTTAGAGTTGCCCTCAGTTTGAAACGGCTTGAAGGCACACAACAGCAACACTCCTACTTGACTTGACTATCGCCATCAGCCCAAAGCAGGCCCACATTTGCCATTGAAACACTGGTATGTTATTGTTGGTTAAAATTGTTCTTCATTTTCAAAATTGTATTGTTCTTTCATTCTTTTGGTGCTACAAATAAGATATGTGCAGTGTGCATGGGAATTAATTCATTTTTTTTTCAAACTATAGTCAGATCTCCCAACAATCTGAGGGACTATGAACCAGCCCTCAGCTTAAAATGCTTGAAGAGGAGGGTGGCAAAAATAATCAAAGGTCTGGAGACTATGCCCTATAAGAAGCATCTTAAAGAACTGGGCATATTTAGCCTGCAGAAGAGAAGGTTGAGAGGAGATATGATAGACATCTATAAATGATGTCATAAGGAAGAGGGAGCAGGCTTGTTTTCTGCTGCCCTGGAAACTAGGATGCGAAGCAATGAGTTCAAATGGATTCTGATTTCATTGATGAGACCTGATGGATTTGTTATATTGATGTACTGATGTATTGATCCTGTTGTTAACCGCTCTGAGTCGCCTAAGGGCTGAGAAGAGCGGTATACAAATAAAGTAAATAAATAGATACATAAATTCAAATTACAGGAAAGGAGATTCCACTTTGGAAGAACTTACTGACTGTAAGAGCTATTCATCAGTGAAACTCTCTACCTCAGAGTGTGGTGGAAACTCCTTTCTTGGAAGCTTTGAAACAGAGGCTGGATGGTCATCTGTCAGGGAAACTTTGATTGTGCTTGTCTCTTCCAATTCTATGATTCTAAGACCCTGGCATTTAACCATGTGTTGGTTTATATATGTGGTCTGTTGATCTATAGTTTAAAACTATGAAAGCATGGATCTCTTGTGTATTTTTAAGTTCTTTGGTCTTACATATTATCATGTTTGATATTGTTGTTTTTAAATTGTTTTAAACTGCTTTTAAATTTTGTTAGATTTTAGCTATTCTTGTAAGCCGCTCCGAGCCCCAGGGGAGTGGCGGCATATAAGTAAATAAATAAATAAATAAATAAATAAATATCATCCCCTCCATTGTTTTGTTACCAATAGCTGAAAATTCTCAGACAACTGAAGCTGGGTGCCCATCATCCTCAGTCACCATGACCAGGAATACATCCTGCAGCTTGTAGTGCTTTCCTTTCCTAATAGACTGCTTCAACTTACAAAGGATTTTGAGGCTTTCATGGAAGCAGCCACGTATTGTAAAATTCATTAATATAAGCAATATGTAGATTTTACAAATGAAAATCTAGCTCAATTACTTAAATCAATAGTTTTATTTGACATTTCACAAACTTTTTAATTATTTCCTGACTGTCAGCCATGCAGGCCATAAATTGACAAATTGCCAATTCCCCACTCCTCCATTGTTATTTTAAATACCTGTCAACACTATGCTGAAAAAATGGGAGTGGGGCAAGGCCGAACAGGGCATAGGGTTACAGCCTGTGTTGGATGGGGTCACACTCCCCCTGAAGATGCAGGTTCGCAGCTTGGGAGTGATCCTGGACTCATCGCTGAGCCTGGAACCCCAGGTCTCGGTGGTGGCCGGGAGAGCTTTTGCACAATTAAAACTTGTGTGCCAGCTGCGCCCGTACCTTGGGAAGTCTGATCTGGCCACGGTGGTCCACACTCTTGTTACATCCCAAATAGATTACTAAAACGCGCTCTACGTGGGGTTACCTTTGAAAACTGTTTGGAAACTTCAGTTAGTCCAGTGGGCGGCAGCTAGATTAATCACCGGAGCGTCGTACAGGGAGCATACCACTCCTCTGTTACGTCAGCTCCACTGGCTGCCGATGCAGTTCCGAGCACAGTTCAAAGTGCTGGTTTTGACCTATAACCCTATACGGCTCCGACCCAGTATACCTGTCCGAACGTATCTCCTCTATGTCTCACCTCGGAGTTTAAGATCTTTGGGGGAGGCCCTGCTCTCGGCCCTGCCTCTATCACAAGTGAGGCTGGTGGGGACGAGGGACAGGGCCTTCTCGGTGGTGGTCCCTCGCCTGTGGAATTCACTCCCCGGGGAAATTAGGTCATCAACATCCCTCCTCTTCTTCTGAAGGAAGCTGAAAACATGGATATGGGACCAGGCCTTCGGGTAATCTGGCAGACTGACATGGTAATGACGACCAGAAATTGGAATGGACTATGGTAATGCTGAATGGACTTATGGATATTAGAACTCAGTGAACGTTGGCCACTAGATTGGCTTTTAATTGTTACTGTTTTAATTGATTGTTTTAACTATTGTGGTTATTACTGTTATGTAATTTATCTGTTGAATTGTTGGCATCGAATTGTGCCGGTTGTAAGCCGCCCTGAGTCTCCCCTTGGGGATTGAGAAGGGCAGGGTAGAAGTGCCCAAAATACATACATACATACATACATACATACATACATACATACATAAGTAACGTTGAAACTGAATTTTTAAAATGACAATAGCATTGTCAGGATTGCAGTTAGTATCACATCTAGATTATACCCTAAAGGGCTCCTTCACACTACACACTATGATTTTGTTTTACAATTATTATATTGTAAATATGTATCATAACAATTTAGGTGCACTGAATTCTTACAAGTGTGAAGGGGGAAATGTGGATTATTTCTGAACATGGATATATGGCTATGAGGTAAAAGCCAGTAATGACTCTACAACAGCTGTTTCTGAGTATTTTGTGATGTCCATTCAGTATGTGTGTCACAGGCATACACCAGAATAGTTGTGAGAAATGCAGCTGCTGTGATGCCTCACTGGCCTTCATCCTTCTGACCTTCAGCACAGCAGCTGTTGACTGTGAGATTGATGCCAGATGTAATCACAAACTCTTCTGAGACAACATGCCTTTCGGTGCTAGACTTTCTATGGAAAGGAGAGGCAGAAGGCTTGGGGTTTGTCGTATTTGCCTCAGTCTCCTCTTGCACAAGAGCAGATCAGGATATCTTTATTTTCCAAGATGTCTCGTTGCACTCCATTATGAAATAGT